ACAATTTCTCACTCGTTCACTCGCTCTATTTACACGCCAACAAGCAAAATCACCAGCCGACCAAATTCGGCCCATGCACGCATCAAACCTCATGCATTTTACATGCTCAATAAACACCCAATCACGGTCAATTGCCAGTCAATTCAATTCAGCCCATGCGCGCATATAATGGTCCACATTTCAATCAGTTAATTCACAATTCAACAAACATACAAGGCCACCATCGGGCCCATAATCACAACCACTATCGTGAACATAAATTCAGCATTTCCGAGTCTATTTCCAGCCATAACAAGCACCACAATCCAGCCACATTACAACACACCAAACCGACACAATTTGTCCCTAAATTGAGCCATATGCTCGTCATTTCAATCCACGACGTCCAGCACTCCACGATGTCCAGCACTCAACTAAGTCTCAAATCAGTCCCGAAACATCACCAAGTCATCCACAATTCAACCAATTCCAGTCCCAAACAACCCCTAAATAACCCCTAAACCGCCACTAATCAACCCGATTCAGCCCCTAATCAAGTCCATCGATACCCGATATCCTAACTAGGATTTAGGGGGCGACTTACTTGGAAATCTAGGCTAGCTCAGCTGAAGGGGAGGGGCGGCTGGTCGGCGGTCACACAACAGCGGACGGCGACGGTGACGGCGAGCGGCTCGGCGGACGGCGGCTGGTCTTCCGGGCTGGACAGGACAGAATGAAGATGATGGTGTTTCGGTGGGGACAGAACAGGGGAGAGAGAGACGGTGAGGTGAGCAGCGGTGGTGAGGCGAGCGGCCACAGCGGCGGTGATAGCTCCGGGCGCGGCTGATCCGGCTAGGCGGGAGGACGGCGGTGGCTGCTGGCTGGGTCGGATGGCCACGGTCACAGTGGGGAGGGGGTGGCTCGGTCGTGAGGGGGAGTGAGGGAGAGAGATGCCGAGAGAAGAGAGAGAATGAGAGGGAGAGAGAGAAATGTGAAATAAATATGAAGAACACCAATAATTGGTGTCTAGCCCATGCCTAAATGACCATCATACCCCTCTTTCACATTTCCAATCAACGGCCAAGATTCGATCTTATCCTAAAATCGACGGTCCAGATTAATCCTTGTAAAAAATATCCAGGGGCAAAATTGGAATTTCACAAAATTCCCAAGGGCAAAATTGTCCAAAAATTTCTATTTCTAAAGCTAGTGTGAAATGACCAAAATGCCCCTCTCACTTTATACTTGGCCTTAACAAAGTCTTAGGGGTAAAACGGTCATTTTCCATTTCTCGCCGAAATTCGATTTTTCTGAAGGATTCGGACAATTCTAAGGCCGACTAAGCCAATAACAACGTCGTCCAACTATCCTGTCGTAACATTCATAATTTCCGAGGCCTAATCTTGATCGTTAATTAATGACCAAATTTAATTAACGTAACTTGAGCATATCTCGAACTAGCGGGTGGCTTTTGGGGAAACTCGCACATTTGACCCGTGGCCGATACTGAATCAAGCCACGTTCAAGTTCACTCGGATCGTGACGACCTCGGTTGTCACTTAATCGCGAGGATCGATCGCTAGTTCCGACGGGCGCGATCGTTTGGTATAGATTTAGGGTCATTCGTCAGTTCATCTCGTGGTCAAGCGGAATCACCAGCGATCCACTAATATGACAGCGGCGAATTGATCCCTAACTATCCTTAAATCGGCCCACATTGGCTCAAAATATCACCTCGACAATTTTTATGGTCGAAAGTCGATTCACGATCGAGTTTCTTTGGTCGCTCGAATTTAAATCCCTAATTAGCCTTTCCCTAATTGTTAGTATCCCAGGAGTGATCAATTCCGGGCGAGATCTAACTACAAGCACGTCCATAAACCATTCATTTCATAAATCCCAAGTGGGTCGGATTTCAGAATGTCACAACCTCCGACGAACGAAAGTTCTTCAACCCAAATGCATTAATAGAGCTAGACAATGGTACAAAAAATGACTAAAATTGGTTTTTAGCATCATTAATGAATGATTAAGAATAAAGTGGTTCTTAAAGTGAGAACTAAAGTCCTCACGTGAAATCGAGGGTTGGACGCGACCTTGTGTGAGGCATTAACGGGTCACGTGACCCCGGCAAGAGAGTGTCTTGATGGAGCATGGGCGTTAAGCAACCACTGGCATCTCTCTCTCTATCCTCAAGTGTTTCTTCTGTTGTTTCCGGTTGGATACAATTCTCAAGTTTAACATTCTTTTTTGTCTATTTAATTATAACTCTCATCTCTCTCGAGCTTTTGATGTGTCCCTTTGCAAAGTGTGAGAGTCGAATCCCACACCATCCAATTCTCTTACTACTGGGCCGCGTGCTCAATGAGTTATTGTACATTAGGCCAAAGATCAAATGTCATTTGTGTAATTATCCCTATAACAAACAACCAACATCACAAACAATCACATCTTTGATCTCTCTTCATTCAATTCTCTCTATCTTGGAGCTCTCATGAAATTCAAGGGAAGTTCGTAAGGGAATTGCAAGCGTATACTTGGTCTTTTGATTAGGTGGCTTTGTTGTATCTTAGTAGTGACTTTGCCTTAACCAGAAAGTAATACGGTGGGGAGCAAATATCACTTTCATGAAAGTAATCACACGCCTCAAAGTACTCGGTTTTCATTCGCCCGACCTTTTATTCGTGATTCCGCAACACAAGGTACTTTGGAAAAAATCTCACCAAACAACAAAGTATCTCCCAAATGCAGTAAAATTAGCTAGGGTTCTAGAGAAAGAGCATTTGACAAAAGCGAACCGAAAATGGTGGAGGCCGAGAAGGCGTGCACACACACCGTCCGCATCGTCGTTTTGGTGGACCTTTGAACGCCAAAAGCAGAGCCACGATCCCAAGAAGATCAAAGGTCAATGAGGTGAAGTTGTGTTCTCTTTTTCCATTTCAATATGTTCAGCTTTTGCTTTTCTTATCACGTTTGCTTTCTCCACAGGTCCCCCGTTAGCAAAGCAAATCCACCAGGTAAGCAAAAGGGAAAGTAAGGATTTCTTTTGGCCATAGAAAACAAGGAATTCCTGACATTCCACATTGTCGGGAAAAGATCCAGGTAGGTGCTAAATCGTCCTTTTAACGTTTTGGCTATTGGTCAATGGAATACCTAGTCGATTATTTAGATCAGTTAGATATGTTTTTTTTTTTTGGATATCTTCACTAGAAATCCTAAAACTTGTTACGAAAGTACAATTAAGTCCTAAAACTTGCAAAAAGTGCAATCAAGTCATAAAACTTATCAAATTGATTCAAATGAATCTTAAAATTAACACCGTCAAATTTACTAACGGAAAATACTGATGTGGCGCTGACTTGGCTTATTTTAATACTTTCTCTCTCTTACGTGGACCAAAACGACGTCGTTTTGGTCCAAAATTCATTTTTAATACTAATTTATTGAAATTAAATATAAAAATAAGCAAAATTAAAAAATTTTAATTTTTTTTTTTAAAAAAGAGAGGAGGATAGGTGGGGAGGGAGGGCTTGCCCTCCAGCGACCCCCGCCTATCGTCCCCCCACCCTCGCTGGCCCTCCCGACGATGGTGGGGCGGCAACGGCGGCTGGGAGGGCAAGCCCTCCCTCCCCGCCTGTCCTCCTCCCTTTTTTTTAAAATTTTTTTAAAATTTAAAATTTTGCTTATTTGTATATTTAATTTCAATAAAATTAGTATTAAAAATCAAATTTGAGCCAAAACGACATTGTTTTAGCCACATAGGAGAGAGAAAATATTAAAATAAGCCACGTTAGCGTCGCGTCAGCATTTTCAATTAGTCAAATTGGACTGTATTAACTTTAGGACTCAATTGAATCAATTTGACAAGTTTTAGGACTTGATTGCACTTTTTGTAAGTTTTTGGACTAAATTACACGTGATAAGTTTTAGGACTTCTAAATATTCTTTTTTTTTCGAGATTTAATCAAGTCTGGAACTGGCTGTCAGTGGATTTGGCTCTAATGTGGCCTTCTTAATATTTTCCTTCGTGGCAATGACTTGACTTCCTTAGCCTGAAAGCGACGTCGTTGTTATCTGCTCTCTTCTTTCCCAAGCAGGTCTATCTTGTCGCTCAAGCATCGTCGCTTGTCCCTCGAGCACGTCACCTCCTTTGGCATGGCTCACCACCCTCGATGCACTACCACGACCACACACCGTCGCCTTTGCCAACCCGTGGTCATGGACCTCCTTGTTGTGCTGTCATGTTCGTTTGTCTATCTCCTTGTTCAGAGGTCCATGGCCTTGAATCCAAGGCCTCGGGTCAAGCGTGCGAGCACAAAAAGAGAGAGAGGACATGACGTCCCAAGTTGAGTGACAAGGGACAAAGACAGTGCTCGAGGACACGCGAAGCTGGCGAGGCCTGGATGATATTAAAAAGAAGGCCATGTTGGAGCTGGACTTGAGCTGGATTTCTGGCATCAGAAAAACCAACTGAAGGTGAGTTCGGGACATGATTGAAGCTTTTTTAGAACGTTAGCTCCTCAATTGACAAAAAAAATGTTGGTTACTCAATCGACCAATGACTAAAACAATAGAACACGACTAAGCATTTATCTCGTATATTGTTGAAAAGACATGTTCTATCTCAATCGTGGATATCTATATTGCAACAAGTTGCTCAAAAAATGTTAGCGTTATGTATAGTTGGTAATTGATGAATTCAGCAAGGTATCTCTTACATTCTTTCCTGAACTCGGACAACCATATGACGAAGAATTTACAACATCTCTCTCTCTCTCTCCGATCCGAACTCGGGCGGGGTTGCTGATTTTGTCCATCATATAAAGGTGATGAATCTAAGATGTAACTTCACTCTCTAAATTCAGAAGAACCCAGTTCTTTACTCATATACCTTCAGTTATAGCAAGGTAACTTCTGTCTTTGGGAATTCAAGTCATATTGTTGGGCTCAACGCACTCTTCGTTAACCTCTTTCACTATTAGAACTCGAGAACCTTATTGTAAAAATAAGAAGAAGAAACATGATTGCAAGGGCATTCAATAAAATAATCTCAAAAAGAGATTAGTAGGGCAAATGATACATAAGTTTGAAACTAAGAAACAAACTCTCAGAAGCAGACTCGCTCGGAATCCACTCTCAGTGATGAACAAATTTCACATTCCCAACATGGTATATGTTTCATAACTCACTAGAAAGTTAGTAGAGGCCCACTAAACTGTTCAATCCTCTCATTTATTTCACATCCCAAACAGAGGAAATTATGTTCAAGGATTATGCTTTTGGGTGTAGATATAGTCGATGTGAGCAGCCAGAGTCCTCCTCACCAAGCATTCTTCTTCCCCAACTCCTTTGCAGCTCTCATCCAACAAGTCATCGTCATGCTTCGTTTCGACACCCTGTAAGATAGAGAGCACAAACGTCTATGACGAAATTTACCCACATGATGTTCAAGTACTAACACGACGGATTGTTCTGAAAAATTTAAGCTATTACAAAGTAGCAACAACTTGAATAAAAACTTTGAAAGGCCAAGATTTCAGCATTCGGGCCAAAATGATTACTAAAATCCAATGTAAATAAACAACCCACCGCACAGTCAGTCTTGACCGGAGTAACATCGAGAAACACCGGCTTGTGGTGAGCAAAGCAGGATGAGATCGTGCAGAGGACGAGGAGAATCGTCAAGAAAAGGGTTGTGATCTTGGCCATCTTTGCCGTCTTTCTTGATGAAGAACAGTAAGGGGTGACGGTTTATATAGATAGGGAGAGGTGGATAGAGCATACAGCTAAAGTTGACTAAAGTTCGTGTGAACCTGAGTGGCTTCAGACATCATTGGCATAGACTGTGGCGTAGAGAATTTCGGTGGGGACGAATCGAAAATACGTAGAGAAATCAATGGCGTTTAATGAAGAGAGAGCGACCGAAAGGAATCAAAGTCCAAAGAGAGGAACGCAAAGAAAGATATTGGGTTAAGTTTTGGGTAGATGAGTGCGTTAAGTCTCCACTTGCATGGCAGGAGGAGATTGTAGATGGCGAAACGAAAGAGCAATTTTAGGTATTTATATTTTAAGAGCGGCTTAGTTCCAACGAGTCGATCATCGTACACAAATTCAACACGTAATAACAGTTTATCAAGCTTCAAGACATTACAATCGACCAAACCATACCTTAGGGGCATATGAGTTCTCTGACCAGTCCAAGTAACTCATCTGCCCCTTTATTTCTCTGGCCATGCAATCTGCTTAAATTTGCTATACAGCCATTAACATGCATGTGTCATGCACGCGTCGTATTTAGCGCATCGGTCAAGTAATATAACTATCAATGCTGCACATCAATGAGCGGCCCGTTCCACGTGGGCTAAACTGTGGTGCGCGAAAGGTGATCTTTAGATTCGTTCGGCATCGGATATGGAATTGAGATGTTACAAACTTTTGCACTTATGATAGTAAGGTCCTCATTAACGTTACTCTTTAGAACAGGAGCATATCAAGTGGGTAGAATTCTAGAGATATGGCCCCCGCATGTTCAAGTAATCACTCCCAATGCATAGCGTTTTGTCTCCAACGGGTTAGCGGGCTTGGCTCCCAGACGCAACACTTTATGGCGCATGGCACTTGATTTCAATGTTGGCCACGAAAATGGCACGCCCAGGATCACCATAATCAGAAACCAAAACACGTTAATGGAGAAATTATCGATTCGCGTACTTGGTTTGGATTCCATCGAACTTGACGCGGAATTTGCGACGGTTTCCGAACACGAACTCAAGTGCTTCTCCTCTATACCCTTCGTTAGAACACTGGCCTAATGAGATTGCCACTCACTAGAAAAAAGTTCTCTCTAGATCCGTATGCGAGTCAGATTGTGCATCATCAAGTTAGGGGAGGGACTTGAGCGCTATTTATAGAGTTTTCGACCACGGGCCCTCTCATTACGGGCCGGGCCGTTCTCGGCCCACACTAGCCAGCCCCATATTAGACTTATTAAGAACCCATATATCTTACCTTATTAGACCAAACTAATTCAGTTAATTTCAATTAATGAACCCCACATTAGGAAATTCTTACATTCTCCCACTTGGGCGATATTAATTGAAATAGAACTGTGTGCGCACCCTTATGTTGATATAAAAATTATTCTTAATAGTCAATCCGATCCCATAAAGTCTCGAACACCGAATAATGGCGGTAACTGCATGTACTCACGCAAAGCCTTCCATGGTCACGAGTGCTTTCAACTTTACTGATATGGATTTAATATGGTAGTGTGTCAAATGGACAATACCTCATAATGAGTGATACTTCATGTGTTGTCCATTTTGTTAGTCCAAATTCTCTCTCCTTAAGTGTCACAAAACCTAGTGTGTCACCAGAGAATTTCCTTCATGGTTCCAACGAACCTGCATATGTCTTACCTTGATAGTTAACTGTACTATATGTGTAACAAGACATATCTTAAGGCTAATACCAAGAATGCCCCATAGCCTATACTCAAGGTTTACACAATGCCTCGAGATTTTCATCAAATATGTGTACTCAATTTGATAAATCTACATTCACAAATACCTCATTGAATGCAAAAGAGTTGATACATATTCAAATATTACAAAATGTAACAAAATCAGATACAAACTTCATAAGAGCAACATAAAACTAAACAGCTCCCACTAATTAACAGTATCCCATGATACTCCTAAGCCCATGTTCATGACATGTCGATCAAATACACAAGGGCGAAGGCCTTTAGTTAGCGGATCTGCAATCATATCATATGTTGAAATGTGCTCTACTGTAATGTCACCCGTCTGAACTTTTTCCTTTATAGTCAGGTACTTGACCTCCATATGCTTAGACCCCTTGAGACCTCTATTGCTGTTAACAAACAACACTGCAGAGTTATTGTCACAATACAACTGTATGGGTCTATCCACAAAATCAAATACGGTCAACTCCTTAATGAGGTTCCGGAGCCAAATTGCCTGAGTAGCGGCCGAAAAGCATGCTACAAACTCCGCTTGCATGGTAGAGGATGTCATTGATTTCTGTTTCTCACTTTTCCATGATACTGCACCTCCTGCTAACTTAAAGATGTAACCCGTTGTCGACTTCTTTTCATCCTGACAGCCAGCAAAGTCTGAATCCGAATACCCAACCAGCTGTAGGTCCTGAACATGTTTGTAAATCAGCATATAGTCTTTTGTCCTCTTTAAGTACCTCAAAACCTTCTTGGCAGCAATCCAATGATCGTGTCCTAGATTTGACTGATATCTGCCTAAAAATCCTATTGCAAAAGCAATATCTAGTCTAGTACATACTTGAGCATACATAATACTCCCAAGTGCACTAGCATAAGGTACATTCTTCATTTGGGCTTTCTTAAAATCTGAATGAGGACATTGTGACAGACTCAACTTATCACCCTTACTGACAGGAGCAATTCCTGGCTTGCATTGCTGCATGTTGAATCTTTCTAAGATACGATCAACATATGCCCTCTGAGATAAACCCAATAGTCGGCGAGAACGATTCCTATGAATCTCAATGCCAAGGACAAAAGACGTCTCACCAAAGTCCTTCATATCAAAGTTCTTTGACAACATCCGCTTTGTCTCATGCAGTAAATCAAGGTCACTACTTGCAAGCATAATATCATCCACATAAAATATAAGGAAAATGAATTTCCTCCCACTGACCTTGCAGTATATACACTGATCTACTTTGTTTTTGACAAAACCAAATGAAGCAACAACACTATAAAACTTCAAGTACCATTGTCTAGAAGCTTGCTTGAGACCATAAATAAACTTTTTCAGTCTACATACAAGCGTACCTGAATCATTTGCCGCAAAGCCTTCGGGTTGCATCATATAGACTTTTTCATTAAGGTCTCCATTGAGAAAGGCAGTTTTAAGATCCATCTGGTGTAACTCCATATCGAAATGAGCTACCAATGCCATGATCATTCTCAAAGAATATTTAGAAGAGACTGGAGAAAAAGTTGCTTCATAGTCTACTCCTTCTCTTTGAGTGAAACCCTTGGCTACCAGTCTGGCTTTAAACTTCTTAGTCTTTCCTATGGAGTCCCTTTTAGTCTTATACACCCATTTGCAGCCAATGGGTCTATGACCTTCAGGTAATTCAACAAGTTCCCAAACTCCATTATGCTTCATAGACTGCGTTTCATCTCTCATTGCATCCAACCACAGTTCCGACTAAAGACAAGAAACAACTTCCGCATAAGTCACTAGATCAGCCACAAAACCGATATCGTAGTTTTGCTCTCCTATATAGACAAAATAGTCCAATGGTATAGCTGATCGTCTCTCCCTAATGGATTTCTTTACTGGAGCAGCAATAGCCTCATCCTGCACCTGAGAGCCTTGAGGAACTTCATTAAGAGCTGTCTCAATAACAGAATCCTAAGCCTCAACAGGTTCAGTCTGTGGTGTGGGAGTCTCCATAATTATCTGTATGGGAGGAGATAAAGATACAACATTACCCACCATACTATTATCCTCAATAGTCTGTGAGCAGCTACTTTCTTCGGCCACATCAAACTCCAGAAACTTCGCTGTTTGTGATTCCACAATTCTTGTACCTCCATTGGGATTATAGAATCGATATCCCTTCAAATGTTCCGGGTAAGATACAAAGTAACACCGAGTGGTTCTGGAGTCTGACTTACTTAATGTTGGATTATATAACTTCACTTCTGCAGGACATCCCCAAACCTTAAGATGGTTTAAGCTAGGCTTACGTCCAGTCCATCACTCAAAAGGAGTCAATGGAACAGCTTTAGTAGGCACACGATTCAGAATGTACAAAGCTGTTTTCAAAGCTCAACCCCACAGAAAATCAGGTAAATTTGTTCTATTAATCATACTCCTCATCATTTCCATAAGGGTGTGATTGCGCCTTTTGGCTACACCATTTTGCTCAGGACTCCCATGCATAGTAAACTGAGCCACTATCCCAGAATCCTCTAAGTACTTGGCAAATGGCCCCTTAAGCTGTCCGGCATCACCATGCTTGCCATAATACTCTCCATCTCGGTCAGATCTAACAACCTTTATGACCTTTTCCAGCTGTTTCTCGACTTCAGTCCGAAAAATCTTGAACTTGTCAAGAGACTCAGACTTTTCTTTAATCAAGTACAGATAGCCATATCGAGAATAGTCATCAATAAATGTGATGAAATAAAAATTTCTACACAAGGTTGCCGTATAGGGTCCACTTATGTTAGTGTGAATGACCTCCAACAGGTCAGAACTTTGGACTGCAGTTTTCTTCCTTATCTTGGTCATTTTACCTCTACAACAGTCTACGCATGTCTCTAGGTCATCTTTAAGAGCAGACATGATGTTAGTCTTTATCAGCCTTTCTACTCTATCCTTAGAGATATGACCAAGTCATTTATGCCACAATGCATAAGACTGTTCCTTAGGTAGTGGTCTCTTGGAAACAACATTTTCAGCCGTATAAGCGACGTATATGTCATTGGGAGACAAACACAATATTTACAATCCGTTGGACATATTACAGCACCCAACCTTATTTGAATTAAGAAACAAAGAAATAACATTATGTTTGATTTCAAAAGAGTAGCCATACATGTCCAAACACGATATGGAAACTAAGTTCCGTCTAAAAGAAGGTACATAAAAGGTGTCTTTCAACATTAATCTAAAATCATAGTCTAGAATCAAGATTACATCTCCCACAAACACAACATCGA